CAGACTTACCATTTCTATGATATAATATTATTTTATGTCACTAATTTCTGACAATATTGGTCACTACAAAAAAACTGCCTGTTAATTGTTACACAGTCTAACTAAAATGCGAACATGCAATCTTTGCATAAGCCTGCAACACCTTATAATCAACTCATTTCATAACTCCAATAGAGCCGTCATTTCAATTGTATTAGTAAAACTACTATTGTAATACTCAGAACATCATTTTGAGAATTTGTATAATTTTGATATAATTTATTCTGTCCTAGCACTCTTTTGAAATCTTTACTCATTTATATATTGCTTACATAAAACAAGTACAAACTCAGAAGCATATTTTCATTAGTGAACAAAACAAGGGGCAAGATGTTACGAAAACATGGCTTGGTTTTAGCGTCAGTAATATAGTATACAGTCTTTCAGGTTATGTAGGAGGATAGACCGCAAATTATACATTTGGAGTTGTGGATGTACTGTGATATGTACATCTTAAAAAATTACTTTCTCTGGAGTCCTCCAGTAGAGAAGAGCAAATTATACCTGAAATGTGTGTTGGGTATGGAGAAGGCCACATAATTCAGGTGTGCCCAACATACAATTCTATTGTCTCCATTATGTCACTCTGGTCTAATGTGCCACATAGGAAATCAGGCCTTGACTATAACTGTCAGTAAAAGTTCATACCTCCCTCCTTCCCATCGGTATAAAAAAAGCAGTATAGTATTCTTTATACTTACTTATTTTGATCTTTTTATTTTACATTGACACCAAATCTTAACGTTTCATTATACTACAAATTTTTGTATTGACTGCACCAGAGAAGATGTTTTTGTTGTGGGTGAGGGGCAGAAACTGATGGTTCTCCTTTGAGTGGCCTCTGCATATTCCCACTTCATGGGGTGCACCAGCTGCATGCAGCTCAGACAGTGGAACCTAGCTAGCCATGTTTGTTGGAGGGTTCACAGACCCCTCCCTGTTTCTGAACCTTCTAGGGATAAGGCTGTAAAAGGGGCACAATTCTCTGGCTGTCTCAAGCACTCCAACATATGTTGGGGTGCTCATTGTGAGAAGCTCCCAGCTGAAGGACATTGGAAATCCCTGCAGAAAAGGTTGCATGTAACTTTTCTGGAATGAAGAGCAATCTGATGAGGCACGAATGCTTTCAATGGCCATCTCCATCACAAAGTAGTTCAGGTGGTCACAGACAACACCACTACAATGCTTTACTTAAACAAGCAAGGAGGTACATGTTCTTCTGAGCTATGCATGGGCAATGATGTTGCAGGAATGGTGCATCCTTCACAAGAGATACCCATTAACAATACACTTGGATGGAAAGAACAACAGTCTGGTAGGAACAACTAAGCAGAGCTCCAGTGGACCAACCATGAGAAGTCTCTGAAGACATTAATGGTACAGGAAAGGTTCACATGCTGGATTCAACTACAAATATTTAACAGTATTGCATGATGTGTATGTGTACACTATATTCTACACTTGGATTTATTGTTCAAAAAACTTATGGGCACACAGTTTGAACTATTAAGAAGACTGTTCCCTTATTACTTATCTAGTAAAACAATCTTTTTTGTGCCAATTGCTTCAAACAGACAAAACATTGAGCTTTGACTGTAGGGTGACTTACTTGTTTCATAAGGGTAAGGTGGTCCTGTGTTTTCATCCTAAATTTGTCTCTAAAGTGGTGTTGAATTTCCATCTGAACTAACCTCTAAACTTGACTGTTTCCTCAAAGTGACTGACAGAGTCGTCTCATCAAAGAATTTTTTTAAAGCATTAAACATACTAGTGTCCATAGTTACTGAGGGAAATGACCTGGGAATCAGAATGGTTGAAGATGAAAGGGATAAAGAGACGCCAGTAAGAAGTGGGGAGGGTAAGGGAATATAGTGTCAGGTTGTGGGCTGGAGGTAGTGAATGAGATATTCATAGACTACAAGGTCAGAAGGGATCATCATGATCATCTAGTCTGACCTCCTGCACATTGCAGGCCACAGAACCTTACCCACCCACTTCTGTAGTAGACCGCTAACCTCTGGCTGAACTGCTGAAGTCGTAGAATCATAGAATATCAGGGTTGGAAGAGACCTCAGGATGTCATCTAGTCCAACCCCCTGCTCAAAGCAGGACCAATCCCCAGTCTTTCAAATCATGGTTGAAAGACTTCAAATTACAGAGAATCCATCATTTACACTAGTTTATACCTGATATTGAGGAAGATAAGGAAAGGAAGGGGAGAAAAGAGAAGTGAGTGAATCTTTTTGTGGATCTTGTTCAATTTCTCATTGTAGGTGAGTAGACTAGGCAGAATTTTAAGGGTGACAAAGAAACATCTATGATTGCACATGTGGGATTTTAATAAGGGAGAGGTATTTAATTTATTAAAAAAATAATAGTAATGGCATCAGTGTGGTTCTTGATTTTTCTCCAGGCTGCAGGTGTGGAAGAAAAGTATGAAAGGTGTGACTTATATTTAAATGCTTAAAAAGTTTTGTACTTACGAGCCCAAGGACTAAGTATGCTCACTGAGGTGAAAAAATATTTGCGCCATCATGCCCCCTCCTTCCAATTTGAAGGGGAAAAGTACTTAAAACTTAGGCCGTTACCTACAGCTGATGAGCTCCAAGAAGAGCGAAACCTTGTAAAATAGGTCCTGTAGTATTGGCCTAAGGAGGTTGGGTGTAAGTTGCTTACTTTCATTCTTGTGCTTTTATAAAGCCAGGAACCAAAGTACCACAGAAACTATCTGGAATGAGCAGTGTCTGAAGTTGAAACCAAGTAGGGGCTTTTCTAACCAAGTAGGGGCAGCTTTGGAAAATAAGGTACACACACACACAGTGGGATTGGGGAGGAGATAAATTAAAAGATAAAAGTAAGGGGAGAGACATGGTACAAAAGAATCAAATAGAAAAAAAGGAAGGAAGGGAGGAAAAGTGGGAGAAGAAAAACAAAAGGATTTTAAGATCAGATTTAAGACCCTTTAAATAGTAAAAATTACTATATAAAAGTTATTTCCATTTTTCCCTCTGTGAAATTCACAAACTATTTCCTGTGGAGTCTGGCAAAGTGATAATTCAGGAAGCAATCAAGTTGCTTTCATATTCTTTCATGGCTTTGATGTGGGAATGCATGCCTATAGATCAGTAGAATATTACTCCTGGGGGAATTCTGTGCCAAAAAATTAAAAATTCTGTGCACAATATATTAAAATTCTGCATATTTATAATTACGCCAGTTTCAATTATTTTGGTAATTTATTTCAAAATACCTGTCAGCAAGTATGTCTGTAACAATGCAGACAACAGAAAAGATACAGGAAATGATTTTTGATAAATAAGATAAGATAAATAAACAAGATTCCTTACTAGGGATATTAATAAAGAACTTTCAGTAATAATTCATTTAAACTACAATACAGAAACGTGTTTCCTGCACCCCTCAAGCAGTGCAAAGGCTTGGGGGAGTCAGGGGTAAAAGAGGAGCTGAGGGAGAGGGGAAGTAATTGCTGGGAAGGCGCATGAGAGTGAACCTGGAGGGTTGCTGGGTGCAGGTGAGAGAAGTATGGAACAACTTTTTTTTGCGGGGATTGTGAGGGAGCTGGGGAGCCTCCCCATGCAGACCCTGGCTGATCTCTGTCCTCTCCCATTCAGTCAGGCACATCTGCCTCATCTCCATATGTTCCTGCACCAAAATTCAGTCACCATCCTCTCCCCATGTGTCCCTGTATGCCTGTCACTATGTGTCATTGCACCCCTACTCCCATTCAGCCCCTGGCTCGATGCTGTCACCCCACTGACTCCTGTGCCCCTAGCCCAGTCTATACCCCCCCCAATAGCAGTTCTGAACTGCAGTCTGTGACCCCTCCCAGCACCCCTGTATGCCCTGTTCTGTCCATCTCCCCCCCCCCCCACCCCAATCCCATGTCTCCTCACCTGGCCCGGTGGGCAGGGCGCAGTGAGGAAAGCAGCCTCTCCCCCCTCCCTCTCCATGTTTGGCTGCTCCAGCCCGGAGCTGCCTGTCCCATCTTCTGGTGTCACAGCAACCCTAGTGGATGAAAGGCATAATTGCAGCACCTACTGAGCAGAATGTATTTTCTACAGGGGAAAAAAATATCTGCAGGGGGCACAAATCCTGTGTATGCACAGTGGTGCAGAATTCCCCCAGGGGTAAAATATGTAATGCCAGTTTTTAAGATTCTGTAGACATGTTCTTATCATTTTGAAGAGAGACTGAAAAATGCTGAATTAAAAAAATGCTTCAGGGTTTCGTAATTTGTAAATCCAAATTGTAGGTAAAATTAATAAATACACTTTAGTGCTACAAGTGAGAGGCCATTCTTCAAAAGACATCTAGGTATGTGGATTTTTTTTCATAGGTATGTTCTCTTGCATATACCTCTTCAAACTTTCTAAATCGGTTGGTTTAAGCAATAGGCATCTTGAACCAACACCTGCCATGAGAGGTAGGCACCCTCTTGTTGCTTGAATTCAGAGTTTTTCAGGCTACAGCTAGCAATAAGCTTCTCTGGGTTGCTGTTAGGGCTGCCTAGTGTCTCAGTTGACACCACTTCAACTTTTCTCATTGTATAGTGTGTGTCCTTAGGCTGGAGCTCTCACCCCAGTGAAGATAAGTTGTTCAGCAGTACCAACAGCTCCTGGTTTGGACACGCTAAGTTTTGGACACACCTTGAAGTGTTTGTTCCTGCCTGGAGCGTCAGGGCTTTTCTGGCGCTTGGTGAAACTTGTGTTGCCCATTGCATTAGGATTCTGGTTTTCATAGCTCCCACTGCACTGAGACACCTGCACAATTGACTTTTGTGACTGTTCTATTTTTGTCTTTTCTTTCAGGTACCAGGGTCAGTAGGTGTGAACAAAGAGGGTAGATCAAATGACTACAGCAGTTTTCATAGTACTCATGGAAAGTATCCACATGAGACAACCTCTGTGGATCCTGAGGTATTAGTAATTTCAACTGATACACAGGTACATCTGAATGATGAGGTGATCTGTGAACTGATCTGGACTGAACTGATGGTAGTCCAGGTACAAACTGGTTTAGGGATGAACTTCAAATTCCTTCACTCCGAATTGTAGATTCATGCACCTGAGGATGAAATGTCCATGCAGGGTGACTTCTCCCAAGGTACTTAGTGTCTACAGGAATAAAAAATCTGCATATGAATTATCAGGACAACCCTTATCTTCAGAGACTACTAACATTCAAGGATGCAGTATCCCTAAAGTTGGTCTGATCCAGATGGTTGGGTCACTGTGTCCTGTGTAAACCATTTGGGAGAGACAGGATCATACCATTTTTATCAGGAAGCCCTGCAGATATGGGAGAGGATAATATCTCAAGATGTTGCTAGCAGACACTTAATTGGCATGAATGCAACACAGTAAACAGGCTAAGCTGATTGGTTGTCAATACACTCAAGTTGTTCTTGAATCAGGGGTAGTGGACCTGAACTTTTCAATATTGATTCACCCCGAGAGAGAAGCTTTGAGCTAACTACTGACGTTGTGCACTAAGCTATGGGAAGAAACTACTGGTGAGTGATTTCTTCTCTTAACTACAGGGGAGGGAAGCTCCCACTATATCTTTCTTCTGTTACATCTGATAGCTAAGTTCCTGACCAAAGAATAACCTCAGAATGACATTTTTTTGCTGTTCCTAATAGCTCTGTTTTACAAGGAAAATGATTATTAATGGGATGGCAGTGTTTGGTTCACTCAAGCTGTGAGTCTTTGTCATGTGATCATAAAGAACTGGGGTGCCACTCCACATTTCAATACAATCTGATCTAGTTGGCATGATGTCTGAGGAGGTAGCCATTGAGATGCCTGTTTCAGAGCAGATGCCTCAAGATCTCAAGTTCAGGAACCTCTAAAGGGCATATACATTTAATTAAAAAGGAATATAAAGTGGTTTTAAATAAGCTGATAAAGGGTTTTATTGAGCACTTCAGAAGCTTGAAATCTTTCCCCCATCGTATAGTAGCTCCATCTAGGTTATATTTCCCTAGTTCGGGGTGGGCAAACTATGGCCTGCGGGCCAGATACAGACCCTCAGGGCTTTGGATCCAGCTCACAGGGTTGCCATCCCTGTGGCACCGTGGGCCCTGCACCGCTCCAGGAAGTGGCTGGCACCAAGTCCCTATGGCCCCTGGGGTGGGGGAGTGGGTGGGGCAGAGGGCAGCACGCTGAGCCCTGTGCCCCCTCCCCCCCCCACACACAGGGGCTGCAGGGATGTGGTGCCGGCCACTTCCTGGATCGGTGCAGGGCCAGGGCAGGCAGTCAGGGAGCCTGTCCTGGGCCCCGTGTGTGCTGCTGCCACCCCAGATGTGGCCCTCGGGCCAAAAAGTTTGCCCACCGCTGCCCTAGTTTGTTTATGAGAAGGACATGTGACACAGTATCAAAAGCCTTACTAAAGTCAAGATATACCACATCTACCACTTCCCCCCCAGCCCCATCCACAGGATTTATGATCTTGTCAAAGAAAGCAACTAGGTTGGCTTGATACAATTTGTTCTTCGAATCCTAGAATATCAGGGTTGGAAGGGACCTCAGGATGTCATCTAGTCCAGCCCCCTGCTCAAAGGAGGACCTAATCCCCACTAAATCATCCCAGCCAGGGCTTTGTCAAACCTGACCTTGAAAACCTCTAAGGAAGGAGATTTCATCACCTCCCTAGGTAACACATTTCAGTGCTTCACCACCCTCCTAGTGAAAAAGTTTTTCCCAATATCCAACCTAAACCTCCCCCACTGCAACTTGAGACCATTACTCCTTGTTCTATCATCTTGTACCACTAAGAACAGTCTAGATTCATCCTATTTGGAATCCCCTTTCAGGTAGTTGAAAGCAGCTATTAAATCCCCCTTCGTTCTTCTCTTCTGCAGACTAAACAATCCCAGTTCCCTCAGCCTCTCCTCATAAGTCATGTGTTCAGACCCCTAATCATTTTTGTTGCCCTCTGCTGGACTCTCTCCAGTTTTTCCACAACCTTTTTGTATTGTGGGGCCCAAAACTGGACACAGTACTCCAGCTGAGGCTTCACCAATGCCGAATAGAGGGGAATGATCACGTCCCTTGATCTGCTGGCAATGCCCCTGCTTATACAGCCCAAAATGCCGGTAGCCTTCTTGATGCTTAATCCTTGTAGTTGCTCTTTTAAAATCTAGCAATAGCCTGAGTTCCCAGACGTATTTTTTCTTTTTTTTAATTAATAAAATTTACCTTTTTTAAGAACAGAATTGAATTTTTGTGTCTTAAGAGGTTTGTGCACGTTGTTTAATTAGCTGGTGGCAACAGCTGATTTCCTTTTTTTTCCTTCTTTCTCTGCTCTTCCCTGGAAGGGTCATAACAGGGCTTGAGGGTACCCCACAGGAAGGAATTTCCAAGTGCGCCTTCCTGGGCTCTCAAATGGGTTCTGCATTTGGGTGGTGGCAGCATCTACCAATCTTAGGTCAGAGAAAACCGTAACCTTGGGAGTTTAGTATAAGCCTGGAGTGGCAAGTATTAATTTTTAGACTCCTTGCGGGCCCCCACCTTCTGCACTTGAAGTGCCAGAGTGGGGAATCAGCCTTAACAATGGGCAAAATATAATTTTCAACAATCCAAAAACATTCAGCCTGAGGCAGACAACTTGCATGGAAAATTTCAACCCAAACATCTAAAATTTGGCTAAGTTATAATCCTTTGAATACAGGATCTTTACAGTGGGAAGTGTAGAGTAATCTTAACTGTTTGTTACTACTAGTTCTGCTTTTATATTATTTATATTATGATAGTGCTGAGGTGCCCTGGTCACGGATCAGGAAAACGTGCTAGGTGCTGTACAAAGAGAGCAAAATGACAGGCTCTGCCCCAAGTAGCGTCAGCCGAAGTATAAGATGAGATAACAGATGGATACAGTTGGAGTACCAGGAAACTTTGATATCTGGATAGATACTGGGGAAAATTATTAAACAATCCACTAGTAAACACTTTGCAGATAATAGGGTTATATAAATAATAGTCCACATGGATTTGTCAAGAACAAATCATGCCAAGCCAACCTAATTTCCTTCTTTGACAGGGTTACCAGCCTAGAGTATAGGAGTAGAGCAGTAGATGTGATATACCTTGATTTTTGGTAAGGCTTTTGACACAGTTCCACATGGCATTCTGATAAGCAAAAGAGGAAAATGTGGTTTAGTGGAAATTACTATCAGGTACATAGTAACTGGTTGAAAGACCATACTCAGAGTAGTTTTCAGTTGTTTGCTGTCAGACTGGGGGGCTGTATCTAATGGGGTCCACAGGGATCTGTTCTCGGCCAGGTACTAGTCAATATTTTTGTTAATGACTTGGATAATGGAGTGGGGTATATTCTTAAAAAATATGCGGATGACACCAATCTGGGGAAGGGTTGTGCAAGTACTTTGCAGCACAGGATCAGGATTCAAAATGACTGACAAATTGGAGAATTGGTCTTGTGATAAATGAAGGGGCGGGGGTAGCTCCCTTTTATGGACACCCGGCCAACTAGTACTTCTAAAATCCCTCGTAGTAGCTGTTCTCTAATTACCCTACCTATAAAGGGTTAAAAAGTCTCGCTGCTATACATTGGTAAAAGGAAGTGAGTGGGCACCTGGCCAAAAGAGCCAAAGGAAAGGCTAGAACTTTTTAAAATTGAAACAAGATTTCCCTTTTGTCTGTCCTCCTGGGGAGAGGAAGACAGGGCAGCAGCTATGCTGTAAGAAGCTTGGACCAGGTATGAAAAAATCATCAGTATCATACCTAGAAACTACTCATTTGAAAGAAACTCCAGCTATGTAAGCAGATCAGGAAATGTTTAGGAAGATGCGATTAGATTTATCCCTTTTATTTCGTTGTGGCTTTTGGATTCCTCAGTGCTAGCTCCAGGTGCTTGTAACCTTTAAGCTGGATCTCAAGAAAGCTATTCTTTGTGCTTAATCCTTGTAGTTACTCTTTTAAAATCTAGCAGTAGCCTGAGTTCCCAGATGTATTTTTTTCTTTTTTTATTAATAAAATTTACCTTTTTGAAGAACAGAATTGGGTTTTTGTGTCTTAGGAGGTTTGTGCACATGTTTAATTAGCTGGTGGCAACAGCTGGTTTACTTTTTTTTCTTTCTTTCTCGGCTATTCCCCGGAGGTTGTGGGGGGGGGGCGGTGACAGGGCTTGAGGGTACTCCACAGGAAGGAATTCCCAAGTGTGCCTTTCTGGGCTCTCAAAGGAGTTCTGCACTTGCGTGGTGTTAGCATCTACCAATCCAAGGTCAGAGAAAAGCTGTAACCTTGGGAGTTGAATACAAGCCTGAAGTGGCCAGTATTAATTTTTAGAATCCTTGCTGGCACCCACCTTCTGCACTCGAAGTGCTAGAGTGGAGAATTAGCCTTGACATGGTGTCAGAGTGGTGGGATCATTTTGAACCAGAGGCACAGATCTCAGGATTTTAAAAGGACACATTTTAAAGCCAGGGAGGTTTTTTTTCTTTTCTTTTCTTTGCTGCCTGAAGGGTAACAGGCCCGCAAAGGGTTCAGCCTGCAAAGCCAGGGAGTCCAACAAGCAGTTTATTTTTCCCCCCCTAGCTTCATGGCAACGAAATAGCTAGGCTAGAGTAGGGCAGCCCTATGCATGAAGTTGCAGTTGGGCACCGAAACCCTAGAGCAACCAGTCTTCCCAAAGCGGCATGCCACAGAGAAGGCAGACCCAGATCAAGCCCAGACATCCAGCTCCATGACGGAAATGAAGGGAGGGGATGGGGGACTGGAGATTTCCCTGGAGAGAATGGTCAGCGCTCAGTACTCCTGAAGTCCCTTCCAACCCTGATATTCTATGATTCTATGATTCCCCAACCTGAGATCCAGGTGCCAAGATGAAGGGATGCCCTTAACCCAGACCGAGTTCTAACTGCGGAAGACAGGAATTTCTTCCTACAGATAAAGCGCTTGGAGGAGGAAGCGGAGGCGAAGTGCTTGGAGGCGGAGGAGAGGAGAGAGGTGAAGCGCTTGGAGGCAGAAATGGAGGCGAAGTGCTTAGAAGCGGAGACAGAGCTGAAGCGCTTAGAGCTGGAAAGGGTGAAGCTGGGTCAGCCAGGTAGCCTTAACAGTCCTCCTCCAGGTACCGCTCCCCATTCCAAGAAATTCCTTACATACAAGGTAGGCGATGATACAGAGGCCTTAGAAAATTTTGAAAGGGCCTCCCTTGGGTACAACACCCCTCCAGACCAGTATATGGTGGAGCTGAGGCCACAGCTCAGTGGACCCTTAGCAGAGGTGGTAGCTCAATTGCCTAAAGAACACATGAATGAATATAAAATTTTTAAACAAAAGGCCAGAAGTAGGATGGGGCTAACAGCCAAGCATGCCCGTCAGTGGTTCAGAGCCCTAAAGTGGAAACCAGATGTGGCATTTTCCCGACACGTCTACCACATTGTAAAAATTGGGATGCCTGGAAATCAGGAGCAAATGTTAAGTCTCTGAAGATCTGTCTCTCCTAATACAAATGGAGCAGTTCTTAGAGGGTATTCCTGAGGAAATAGAAAGGTACATTCTAGATGGGAAGCCAAAATGGTAATGGAGGGGATGGAGATCTGAGCCAAATGGGTGGAGGTGGCGGAGAAGAAGAAAGCTAGTAGCAGTTGGTGTGGATACCGGAAGAGGCAACCTGAGATGATACCCCACCATCAGAGTCAGCCCAAGGCCCCACCTCACAAGGAGGAGCCCTCCACACAGCCAGGGAGACCCCAGATGCCCTCTTGTCCCACCACCATACTCTCCAACCACCCACCTCACCCCAGCCCACAGTCAGCTGGGCGATGCTTTAAATGTAATGAGCTGGGGCATGTGAAGGCCAACTGCCCCAGGAGCACCAACCGACTGCAACTCATCATCCCGGGATCCCACCGAGAGCCTTCAGGCCCAGATGCCTCGCAAATACGCCAGAGCAAAGGGAAACTGTAAGTGTGGGTGGGAGGAAGATTACTGCGTGGAGAAACACTGGAGCACAGGTCTCAGCTATCCATCAATCCCTGGTGGACCCCAAATTCATCAACCCAGAGGCCCAAGTGACGGTGAACCCTTTAAGGCCAACTCTTTTAACTTGCCTACAGCCAAGTTTCCTGTCTAGTACAAGGGCTGGTCAGGAATATGGACTTTTGCAGTCTGACGATCATCCCATTCCCATGCTGTTGGGAGAAGACTTAGCCAACCATGTGAGGCTAACAAAAAGGGTGGGGATGGTCACCTGCAGCCAGGCTAAACAGGCCTCCACACCTAACTCCATTCCTGAGCCTCCTCCAAGGACCCAGTCTGAGTCCTTTGGTACCACAGGCCCGGGGACCAAGCAAGAGGTGGTGGAACCAGACCCCAGACCAGAGTCTATGGCAGTGGTTGTAGATCCCAGGGTCAGAACCAGCCCAAGGATCGGAACTGGCGGAGCAGTCAGCACCAGAGCCCGTGCTTGCAACCCCACCAGAGTCAGGGGAGCCAGCACCAAAGGGCGCCACAGAGCCTGAACCACCAGCAGCAGCAAAATGGGTGCAAGAAGCTCAACCGGAGCTGAAATACAACCTAGTTCAATAAACTGGAGAGCCCCCACTCTGTTGATGGACTTCTGTCTGCATTTCTTTTTACTGCTGCAGCTCATTCCTTTGTTGATGTTGTGTTTTTATCAGAGGGTGTTTTTGGCTTTAAGTTGAAAGAATGTTAAGTGTATCTAGTCCCCCCATCTCTTGCAAAATTCCCCTGTTAGCTGCTTCTGTTTGCTAGCTCCTCTGGTTGCTTCAATTTGATGAAATTTAGTAAAGCCAAGTACAAAGTACTACACTTGAGGGAAAAATTAAATGCACAGCCACAAAATGTGGAATAACTGGCTAGGCAGTACTCCTGAAAAAGATCTGGAGATTATAATGGATCACAAATTGAGTGAGGGTCAATAATGTGATGCAGTTGCGCAAAAAGGATAATATTCTGGCATGTATTAACAGAAGTGTCATATATAAGACAGGAGAGATAATTTTCCTGCTCTCCTGGGCACAGATTATGTCTCTATTAGAGTGTTGTGTCCAATTCACAATTTTAGGAAAGATGTGGAGAGAGTTCAGAGAAGAGCAACAACAAGTATGCACTATGCTGCTGCTGTTTCTGAAAGACTATTGAATTTGTCATCAGAAAACTGGAGAATTTACATGCACAGTTTAATGGTTCTGAGTTAAAAGATTTCTTAAATATGTATGTAAATGTGTGTGTATGTGGTTTGTATTATCAATAGGTAATTTAAATTGGTTTGGGATCCTTCAAGATGAAATATCATATAATTAAAGATCCTTTCCAGAAAATAAATATTAACAGGTAGTGGAAGAAGCTGCCAAGAGAAGCTGTAGAAAGTCTATCACTGAATGTATTTAGTGTCAAGACTATATACTTACTCATTTTTTATTATGCCTTATAGGCATAATTAAATCAGTCCTGCCATATTGCATGAGAGTGAACTAGATCTCTAACTTCAGAAGTTCCTTTCAATCAGAATGATTTTAATATCATGGAGTAATTTAATCTGCTACTTTCGCTTAATAACAATAAAGCCCTAAAACATCTTCAATACATTTATATTTAAGTAGTTGATGAATATTATGTTAACATTTGCCTGTGTGAACTCTTTGGTTTTATATCAACATCAAGCTGTGTCACTTACATTTCCTCTTCTTTAGGGTTGATTCAAATCTGGAATCAGTCACTAAGGAGAATATAATAGTATAATCATGGTCAGTAAGAGAAGTTAAATGGAATTCATAGATTTTAAATCCAGAAGGGAGCATTGTGATCATCTAGTCTGACCAACTGTATAGAACAGGCCATAGAACTTCCCAAAAATAATTCCTAAAGCATATCTTTTAGAAAACATCCAATCTTGATTTCAGTCATACACCAAGTTGGAAAAGTTTTTTTTAATTTTTTTTATTTTTTTTATTTTTTTTTAAATTTAAATATTGATGTAAATTGGTGCTTTCTTGCTTGCTTTGGTATTTTGAGAAGCAAAATCTCTATGTATATTTTCAATAATACTTGATACAATGTATCTTTAGGAGTTTTCCAATTTAGATCACTTTTGCCATTCTGAATAGGCTAATCATTTTAATATGGCACCCAAAAGTGTGAAAGGCACTTCAAAAATGTAAGATAATAACTCTCTGTTCAAAAGAATACTAGATTAAAAATATGTATTTTCTAGGGCTCTCGATTAATCGCAATTAACTCACGCAATTAATTCAAAAAAATTAATCACGATTAATCACAGTTTTAATTGCACTCTTAAACAATAGAATACCAATTGAAATGTATTAAATATTTTGGATGTATTTTTACATTTTCTGTGTTGTAATTGAAATCAAAGTGTATATTATTTTTTATTATAAATATTTGCACTGTAAAATAATAAATAGTATTTTTTCAATTCACCTCATACAAGTACCATAGTGTAATCTTTGTTGTGAAAGTGCAACTTAAAAGTGTAAGCGTTTTTTTTGTTATATAACTGCACTCAAAAACAAAACAATGTAAAACTTCAGAGCCTACAAGTCCACTCGGTCCTACTTCTTGTTCAGCCGATCGCTGAGACAAACAAGTTTGTTTACATTTACAGGAGTTAATGCTGCCCTCCTCTTATTTACAATGTCACCAGAAAGTGAGAATAGGCATTTGTATGATACTTTTGTAGTCAGCCTAAACATATGCTAAACATTCGTATGCCCCTTTGTGCTTTGGCCATCATTCCCGAGTACATACTTCCATGCTGATGACGCTTGTTAAAAAAATAATGCGTTAATTAAATTTGTGACTGAACTCCTTGGCGGAGAATTGTATGTCCTCTGCTCTATTTTCCCTGCATTCTGCCATATATTTCATGTTACAGCAGTCTCAGATGATCACATGTTGTTCATTTTAAGAACACTTCACTGAAGATTTGAAAAATCACAATGTGAGATTTCTAAAGATAGTTGCAGCACTCGACCCAAGGTTTAAGAATCTGAAGTCCCTTCCAAAAATCTGAGAGGGATGAGATGTGGAGCATGCTTTTAGAAGTCTTAAAAGAGCAACACTCAGATATGGAAACTACAGAACCTGAACCACCAAAAAAGAAAATCAACCTTCTGCTGGTGGCATCTGACTCAGATAATGAAAATGAACATGCGTCAGTCCGCTCTGCTTTGGATTGTTATTGAACAGAACCCATCATGAGCATGGATGCATGTCCCCTGGAATCGTGGTTGAAGTATGAAGGGACATATGAATCTTTAGTGCGTTTGGCACATAAATATCTTGCGACTCCAGCTACAACAGTGCCATCAGAACGCCTGTCCTCACTTTCAGGTGACATTCTAAACAAGAAGTGGGCAGCGTTATCTCCTGTAAATGTAAACAAACTTGTTTGTCTGAGTGATTGGCTGAACAAGAAGTAGGACTGAGTAGACTTGTAGGCTCTAAAATTTTACATTGTTTTGTTTTTGAGTGCAGTTAAGTAACAAAAAAAATCTACGTATGTAAGTTACACTTTCATGATAGAGTGTGCACTACAGTACTTGTATTAGGTGAATTGAAAAATACTGTTTCGTTTATCATTTTTACAGTACAAATACTTGTAATCAAAAATAAATATAAGTTGAGCATTGTACACTTTGTATTCTGTGTTGTAATTGAAATCAATAGATTTGAAAATGTAGAAAAATCCAAAATATTTAAATAAATGATATTCTATTGTTCAACAGTGCGATTAATCCCGATTAATTTTTGTAATCGCTTGACAGTAGTATTTTCTTTTTTGCTGATTTTGCCTGTAACTTTCACTTGTTTGACTAGATTTGACAAGAACAGGTCGAAATCAAAATCTTTCACTTGATGAAGAAAATAAACTTTGTTTGCAGTATGTTGGTTTTGTGCTAGGAGAATTGGTAGCATAAACACTGTTTCTACTTTTTTGTCTGTAGAATGATTGAGGAGAGCGGGAAGAGGAGAAGGACAATGGCAGAGAAGAGACAGCTATTCATGGATATGAGTAAGTCACAGTGTTGCAGATAAATCATCATTAATGTATTTGAGGTAGGGTGGCTTGTTGCTGGAGGGCATGGGGCTGGCCAGCTCTGATTACTGTGTTGGATACGGTAATTCCCTATAAAGGGCAGAAGATGGCTGCAGAGAGGAGGGAAGATTAGGCAAATGCAGGAAGTAAGAGAGGCTTCTGCAGGGAAGACCCTGATTATGCAGGGGTTTGGAAGCTGCCAGGCTGTGGCTGCCAGAAGGATGTCAGACTGGGACAGAGGAAGAGTTCCATGTGTAGCAGAAGAACCAGGACTAGGTATAAACTCTTACGGTTATGGATTTTATTTTGTGGACCGTGAGGATTGCTTGAACCACTTCTGTTATTAAACCAGCCCTGTGTGGGGATGCTGTTAGCCACATGAAATGCTGCCTGGAGTTCTTAAGGGGCCTGCAAGAGTGGGGTTAACAGAGGTGGGGTACCTACAAAACATGTGGCCACAAGGATGTACTCAGTAAATAGTAACTCCACTACAGTGCTACAGCGTTTTTAAAGAAACTACAACAATGTAACCATTTTTTACTCCAAAGAGAGTGGATTTATGGAACACTCTACATTTATAGTTTCAGTACTTGCAACCTTAGTGTTATCAGTTTCTAAGGGAAACACTCAAGTCAGGAAACTCAGCCAGAGTTAAAGTTCTTATGCATCCCTAGTTCTTCCTCCTTTTTACATATGTATATGGTATTCTTTAATTTACACAATCACACACTTTTTTCTTTGAGAACTTGCTCATGTCCATTTCATATTTGGTGTGTGCTTGCCACATGCACCGGTGCCGGAAGTTTTTCCCTCAACAGTATCTGTAGGGGACCGGCTCTGGTGCCCTCTGGAGCGGTGCACACATGCCACGGTATAAGGGGTGTCACCGGTTCCCCCCACCTTCAGTTCCTTCTTTCTGCCAGTGACTGTGCTGGAGCATCTGCTGCTTCGGCTATCGTTGTCTCATTCTCTGTTCGTACAAACTCTGTAGAACTTGTAGTATAGTTGTAAATAGTTGTTGTTACAGCTAGTTACCCTTAGTAGTAGTTCTTGAAGTTCTCGTAGTCCCGAATGGGACTCAGCCGGGGGACAGGGCATACCCTGGTCCCCAGGCTTTAAGCCCTGCAATTGCTGCAAACAGCCTGTGCCCATCAGTGATCCACGTACCAGCTGCCTAAGGTGCTTAGGCGAGTGGAACATAAGCAACAAGTGTTGTATCTGCAAGTCCTTCAAACTAGGATGAAGAAGAAGAAGCACGATACCATCTTAAAGCACTCCTAACGGAATCGTTACTCCGGTACCGGAGCAGCAGTCCAACTCCGCACCAAGCACCGTGGCCTCCGTGCGCAATGCTCCGCCGTCACCGTACATGAGCCGGCACCAGTCTCCCTCCACAGCTCCGGTCAGGAAGCCAAAAAAGACCAAGGAGAAGATCTCCTACCTCCTGCAAGGGAAAGGAGAGGGCTGGGAGTGAGCCAAGACTCGGGTCGGGCAGCTCAACGCCTCCTTCGGGAAGTCAGGCCCCAGCTCAAGTCGAGCGGTGCAGCCCATCCCATACTTAACCTGCGACTCCAGATAGGGGTGGAGGCCCTGGCCAGCTTCAGGTGCCGTTGAAGCCCTTCAAGCAGCTCAGGAGATCCTGATGCTCCCGGTGCCACCCACACTGGCTCCAGTGGTACCCTAGTCTCCAGGAAAACCCGCATTGGGACCTATGCACGTGTCCCCGACTCAGTGGCACCGTTCTCCATCAAGAGGGGCGTCCTGCCATTGCTTGCCCACCCGAAGCTGTCACTCCTCAGGACTAGAGAGGCGGAGCCCTCTTTGGTCCCTGCACCGGGGGTACCAATCGAGGGACTCGAGGCTTCCTCTCTGGTGGATTGGCGCAGACCCTCTGAGGCACATGCCACCTGGCAAGAACACTGGGACTGGCCCTGACCATCTCCGATGGCTCGGGACAGATCAGAGGTCCGAGACCGCCAATCACCGGGCCGTCATTGCCCATCTCCAAGAAGGAGATCACCCTACTCGAAAAGATCCAACAAAAAACTGGATACAATTAACTTAGGCTTGAATAAAGACTGGGAGTGGATGTGTCATTACACAAAGTAAAACTATTTCCCCATGTTTATTTCAACCCCCCCCCCGCCCCATTCCTCACACGTTCTTGTCAACTGCTGGAAATGGCCCACCTTGATTATCACTACAAAAGGTTCTCCCCGCCCCCGCACTCTCCTGCTGGTAATAGCTCACCTTACCTGATCACTCTTGTTACAGTCTATATGGTAACATGCATTGTTTAATGTTCTCTGTGTATATAAAATCTCCCCACTGTATTTTCCACTACATGCATCTGATGAAGTGAGCTGCAGCTCACGAAAGCTTATGTTCCAATAAATTTGTTAGTCTCTAAGGTGCCACAATTACTCCTTTTCTCTATGTTGTAGTATCCCAACATGAGGGGATTTGATTTGGAGGGAAGCATTATTGAAAGTAGCAAAATCATATGGTGTTCCAGGTAAGATAGTTGGAATTATAAAAGCTGTGTAAAAAGACTCTTGCAGTGCTGTCAGAATTGGTGGGAAGTTAAACAATTGTTTCAAGTCAAAGTTTGGTATAAGACAAAGTGGCATGGAATAGCCATCACTTTTCATCCTGTTCTTAAACTGGACACTAATACATTAGGCAAGTTGGATGGCATAACATTGGATGATCTATATTTAAGATTCTTAGTGTATATAGATGACACATAACTGACAGATGTGTTTAAATTTATGATGATACTCTTTGCTACCGTGGAAAATTCCTGTAGTCAACTTGGACTTACAATAAATGCCAAGAAGACAAAATAGTTACATCTTGGAAAAGGGATAATAGATGAGGTTTTGAAGTGTAGCCTCTGTGAAGTCACAGAACAAGTAGAATCTTGTGTACTTAAGAAGCTTGATAAGTGCTGATGGAGATGAGGTTAAAAGGAGATGTGCCTTAGCTGCAAGTGCTACACAAAAATTAATGAAATTATGGACTGATAAAAACATTAAATTTGGTACCAAGGTGAAAATTTATCAAACCAGTGTGTTAACTATTATTCTGTAATCTGGAAGCAGCTGTATTAAGGGAAACAGACATCAGAAGGCTGGACACAGTAGAGATAAGCTCTTCAAAAAAAAATGAAGAGTATGATCGGGGGGTCACTGCAGAAGACAAACATGATAGGATGCCAAAGAAAACAATGTAAGCACAACCAAGGTCAGTTTGACCTGGAGGCCGACCACTGACTAGATAGTAGGACATCGAATGCAGGGATGTGACCAGGCTGGATTTAATGGAGGAACAAGCCATTGACAGGAATGAATGGCAATGTTGTACTGCACCTCATGTCTGCAAAGACGTTCTGGGTTGAGAGAAATGTAAAATAGTTTGCCAGTATATCGAAGTCCCTAGGGGATTTCTTGGAGTTACTGACTTTTATCCCTTTTTGGATTATTAAAAATCTCTGCTTGTGGGAGAGAAGTTTTTGTTCAGGGAGTGGACTTGGTGGGATGTGGTGTGAATGTAATTCTAATGGCTCTTTGAAGATGTCAGTATGGATCTCATTATAGGGGTGTGTGTCCTTCAGGAATGTCCATGGGGGTTGTGCATGTGCCCTTTGCTGCCTTGAGGTTCTGTACAAGGGCGTAAAGGGCTGAAGGTTCCCACAGTTCCCTCTTACTGCCTGTGGCAGCAAGGCAGAACCTGGTGAGTCTAATCCACTAGCTCTTGGCTATAGCTAAATCTTCTGATAAATCCTCTAAATATCTTTAGAACTCTTCGAATTACATTGATTTTTCAACCACTTTGACTTTGACCCATCTGGACAGAGTACTAATAGATGACCTTCCCCCACAAACTTCTTTGGACAAGGCTCCTGAAAGTGGTGGACTGAACCTTCAGGCTTTGGGCCCTGTGCATGCTATGATAGACTAATAGCCTTAAAAATAGATACAATGGGTGCCTCTTATGTCCAGGAGAATAGCACTTACTGAGCAGATGCTCAGTGTGCCTGAAATTCTCCACTATGATGCTGGAGTTGCAAGATGTGAGGCTGAAATGCCACCTTCTGGAACAAATCATGAATATCTCATCATCCTTGGATCCTAAGGATGAGCTCCAAGATCCTGCTAGTGGCCAAGTCAGCTTAATCCAAACCCCATATAGCAGACAAGCAACACCGAAGACCAGCTGAGAGAAGATGGCACCTGGAAAGGACTTGGCATTGAAGATGACCCCAACATCAATCAGCTGGCAATCCAGTCACTCTCCAACTTTGAGTTACACATTTGTGGGTGCCAGCTGTCACCTAGCAGGTCCAACAGGAGCCTGTCTGAAAGCTATTCAGAGGATTGAAAAGATGTCTTTACAGGTTGAGATAGATGGCTTATACATTGCTGCAAAGTCTGTGGCCACCATGATGACAATCTGATGAAGTGAGCTGTGGCTCACGAAAGCTCATGCTCAAATAAATTGGTTAGTCTCTAAGGTGCCACAAGTACTCCTTTTCTTTCAATGTGCAAAGTGTTGTCTTCAAGCATCAGGTTTCCTGAGAGAGGTACAGGCCATGATTGAGGACTTAGCTATATGGTGCTCCACACTTGCTGAAGGACTCAAAGGCCACCCTTTATCCTCTGGGGATTTACACTGTTCCTTCAAGCTGTACCATCCTCAACCCCAGTTGAAGCCACTGAGACCATCCTACCATCACAGGCAGCCTGAAATACCAAGCCAAGAAAAGACTGAGGTAAAATAGAGGTTCCCATGTTTGGCATGGACGCTGAGGAGCCAGAGGTGCAATCTGTGCCGGCAGGGACTTTTGCACAGCAGGACACTCCTTCTCCCCAGTCCTTGATGGCGTCCAGGTTATGGTGATTTATCTCTGGAAGATTTGCATTCAGTCCTTATCAGAGGACACTGAGCTCTGTCTGAAGCCTCTATTTTTCTGT